GATACAATTTAGTAATTTTGATGACCTGGATCGTGAGGAAAATATTGGAAGTTGATTTCAAGATCGAGGGCGTTCAAATGGAATTTAATGGTTAAACAGTATGGCAAAGAAATCGAGGTAATACTTTACTACCTCTTTATGCTTTATGGAACATGTTTATATTGATAAATGCATGAACAAGATAATGTTGGACACTTTGGAGGAGTTGAATAATTTATACACTCGATATGATGTGGTAGAAATTCTGTAACTGATTACGGATCGAATGACTAATATAAGAGATTGAGGAATTGTTAGATTAAATTACAAGTTTGTGATTAGTGATAAAGAAATCAGCCCTGTATCTGCAACTTATAATTTATTTCATCAAGGTTAAATGTTAAAAGTACTTGGATGAGAAATTGTGAGAATAATATGGTAAGATAAAATTACGAAAATACCCTTATGTTCTAAGATGACAAGAATTGTCCCTGGAAGTTGGTTAATAACTCTGAAAAGACATATTGATCTGGTAAAAATTATTGATGTGCATAAGAAATGCTAGTTTTGATTAGGAAATGCGGATAAACGATTTTTAGTCTTATGAGGGTTTGTGAAAGATACTAGAAGTCTGTTAAGGGAATCATTTCAAGATCAGAGAGTGTTCAAGAAATCAATTAATCATAGGATCTCTAAATTATAATTATTTTCATTAAAAGCTAATATCGAAATTATCTGGTTAAGAAATTACTGAAATGCCCTTAAGAGGTAGAATAGTCTGAGTTGACTCTGAATGAGAAAATACTTTAAGGATTCGTACTTAACTCGATTAAGTACGGATTTGATTGTTAAGATCCTGACTTAGTTCAGGAAAATTCCTGATATTCTGTTTGTAAAATCTGAGAAGACATTTGACCCAGAAATATCCGAGTTATGAATTTAATAGTAAGATCGGACGGAAGGAAATGATTGAAATACGCTGAATCTGTAAAATGACCAAAATACCCCCGTAATGGAAATGACTCAAGAATATCACCAAGCTCAGGAATGATTGGATATCCTCGAGCTCTGAAATGAATGGAATAAAACTGAACACCAAAATTACCAAAATACCCTTTTGGCCTATATTAAGTAAATGCCTTGGATTAATTAAGGAATCCAAATAAGCATAGGTATTGGACTACCTTTAAAAGTTATGGAACATAACTTAAGTGACCCGATCAACCTTAATAATATGTCAGTACCTGAACGACATAGATATTACTTGAATGCGTGTTCGTCTTCTCAAGTTTGGCTCAATGATAAATTTTGGAAGTATTCAACTCAGCTCAACTCTAGATCGTATTCAGTATTAAGAATTGGACGTTTGTTCGACAATCAACCACGAAGACCAAATTGAATGGAATGGAAGTACAACATTTATCTGAAATTCAGGAACGTTTGAATTACTCTGGAAAATCCTGAAGTAACTGGAATGGAGATGACTGCTAAATGAAATAGGTAACCTCAATGACTGAGGATTTAGTAAGTGATTTGGACAAGTCTGGAAACTCTGATGAGTTTACGTAGTGTACAATTACAATGGGTTATGAACAAATTAATCAAGTATGTCAGCATTTCATGATATTGTGGAAGTGTGGAAATGAAATAAAGACATTGGAAGATCTATTCAACGATGATTCCGAAAATGGTCTATGGACAAGAATTATGGTATTAAAGAGTAAATACCCTGGAAGAACAATGAATTGACCAATCGACAGGCATTAGTTCTGGGAACTATTCATGTAAGAGTTGTCTGATAATCCGATCAATCAACATAGAATATAAATGTCCTGAACCTTCATTTCTTCCTTATCAGCTCAAGTCACATTCTGAATAACTGATGATTCTGTCAGTTAATGAACTCTTCCAATAGTGATTCTAAATTCCAACATTCTATCGACATACTGAAGAACTGTGTTTCTCTGCCTGATACAGTACCTCTAAATAATACCTGTAAACTTTGGTGTGTTCCCTAATTTCATGAATATTTTATATGATTTCAAATTTGAATTCTGTTATGATACCTGACCTGGATTCTGATATGATGTTGACATGGATTCTGATATGATACATGACCTGGATTCTGATATGATACTTGACTTGAATTATGTTTTGATTTTTGATATATCCGTTTACGGACGGAACATGTTTTATTGGGGGGGTATTGTTGGAGGAAGATTACTTGGAGGCTCCTCGGCTTTGTGCTCAGGGCCTTACTTGTAGGCTCCTCGGCATTGTGCTCAGGGCCTTACTGTTCGTGATGGGGTTGTATGGTTCTGGGGAACCTACACATTTTGTTCGTGACGGATGGGGGTATATATATATATATGTTTTAAAAAGATCTGAAAAGTTACATGGTTTTTTTTTGGAACACACTAGATAACCTATTATGATCTCCTGAACTCAGTCATTCGAAATATTTCTCTGAAACGAAAGCTCATTGTCCGTTACCACCTGAAATATCAGTAGGATCTCTGCTCAACATAAAAATCTGTAAATGTTCGGAAACAAAAAGGAAATATATATTTATCTGTATCTGCACGTTCATCAGCATCATCTGGTAGTTCTGTATTACTGAGCTTTCCAAAGCTCACTCTGTTACTAATCTTTTCAGGCTAAAAGAATTGTACCAGTGCAGCTATCGACTTCAGTAAGGGAGTTCTTCCGGCGTTGTTGCAGAGTATGGTACATGTGATTAGGGGGCATGTAATTGTATTTTGATTTATATACGAGTCTGAAGATCTGTTTTATTTTTAAATAGCGACAAATGAATTTATAAGTTTATATGTTCTGATAAAAAGTTTTAAATTTTCCGCTATTTTTACAGTGGGTCGCTCCGGTGGCCCTAATATGACTTCCCGGATCGGATCGGGTTAACCTTATCGGTCTGGGGGGTTACAAAATAAGTTGTCAGAGATTCTTTAGATTCGCTCCCACTTGAAACTCTCGTAAAATGTTTAAAAAAACATTTGTTAAAGAAAAAAAGGTAAACTACACAAATGGTCACTAATGTATGAGTAAATTTTTGTTTTTCTCACTAAAGTTCCAAAAGTAACAAATTGATCACTAACATTATCGATTTATAATAAATTGGTCACCTCGTCGTTAGTAACCATTACTGAAGTAACAAAATGCTGATGTGGCATGTTACAGCTATGTTGACCCCTCTTTGACTCTATAAAAAAATTTGTTTGTTTAAAGAAAACTACTCTTTCTTCTTTTCTAACCTTTCCTTCTCTCATTGGTACTTCTTTTCTCTTCTTTTCCAAAATTTTTTCTCTTACTTGTTTTTCATCCTCTTCCTATGTGACTGTGTATGGCCATGGAGAAACAAATATTTGGATTGCATATTCATCTCAAAAAGAATTATTTTTCAGGGTGAGTTATCATATATGACTTCTCTATATTATCTTAAATCATCCCACAATATTGACATCGTCTTTAACTTTATCAATCGCCGTTGTTGGCAAATAAGTTTGAACATGTAAACTTTGGCATCGAGTAATTCTTTCCAACATACCAAAAAAAATGTATCCATATAAAAGGCAACCGTAGTTGCATGACTGTAAGTAATACCTGATGGACTATAAATTGAGGAAAAAGGCAACTAATAAGCAACATAACATCGAAAGAACTTTATCGAGCATGTAAGGTGCATGTGTCTCTAAATTATGGGTTTGGTTCATTTATTAATTTGGAAATTAATTTCTATATTTTAATATTTTTATTTCTCATGATTCATTATTTATTTCTATGATGTTACTTGTTAGTCCAAATTAATAATACTTTTATAATTATTTATCATAATTATAACTTGTAGTTCTGTTTATTACTTGTGATGAGATTTTTTTATATAAAAAGAAAGAAAATATACATCTATTTCATTCTTCAAACTCCAAATAGAGCTTTCTTAGATTATTCACTACTACCCTATATATACTATATAATATTTTTACTCATATGTCAGTGTTGTATATTTTCTTTTTTCTTTTTATATCAAAAATCTCATCACCATTTTTCTCCTTAAACTTGATCGAAATCAGGTTACATTCAGCTTAAAGAACGAGATTATTTGATTAGAAAAATCTCTCTATGAATCATCATGGCTCAAACAAGGGTTAACGGTTGGAGCTATTTCTTAAGCAACCATTCATATTTAATCTCAAAACTTTATGGGTTTTATAAAGAATTTGCCAAAAAATGCAAAAGTGGAGATAAAAAAATACTCTGGGTCTAATGAAACTGTAGAAAGTAGTAAGGGTTTGCATATTGAGAATTGAACCGTGGTAAAAGCATCTCCAATGAGTGAATACATGAAGTAACTAAGTTAAGATTTGATTTATTCTTGTATGGTTTGTTTACGAGTAAATCCCGTTAATCATGTTTTTATTAGGTGCCTAAAAGATGATTTTTGTGTTATTGTTTTTGTAGAGCCATATAGAAAGAAGATGAAGAACAAGAAGGAGAAAAAAAGGTTGGAAAAGCATCTCTAACCTTTCCCTTTTCTTCAAATAAGGAAGAAGATGAAGCGCAATGTGGGGAAGGAAAGGTTGGAAAAGAAGAGGGAAGAAGAGGAAGGATATGGACGAGAATGAAAAGTTGGAAAAGTTGAAAAAGAAAAGAAGAGCTTTCGTTGAAAAAATAAATTCTTTTTCATGGAATCAAAGAGCGGTCAATGTAGCTGTAACAACCACATCAACATTCGGTTACTTCAGAAATGGTTATTAATGACGAGAGGTTGATTTGTTATAAATCGATAATGTCAATGATCAATTTATTACTTTTGAAGCTTCAATAAGGAAAACAAAAATTTACTTAAATTTTAGTGACTATTGGTGTAGTTTAACGAATAAAAAATAAAAACCATTTTAAAAAATTAACCACACCCATTGATTAATTAAATACTTAATTAGGTTTTCGCTTTCACTTTCCTTTCCCCAATTTGTTCCCTGTAATGCTTCAACATTCCAATTTCATCAATGTACGGACAGTCCCAGCCCATGAATGTTTCAGCTCCGATCTCCGACTCCGGCACCGACGTATGTGACGATGTTTCAGCCTCGGCGTCCGTTGATAACCACCAAAACATTGGTTACGACGCTCATCCTCTCGACAACGGCATCGGAGTTGAAGGCGTCGCCACCGATCCTATGTATGCCACAGCCGCAGTTGCTTCAGCCTCTGACTTAGCTATCGTTCAGCGAGCCGACGATGCAAGCCAGCTCACTCTCTCGTTTCGCGGTCAGGTCTATGTATTCGATGAAATTACTCCGGATAAGGTATCGCCTTCCCCTTCAGTCTTTTTTTTCTTTCCCGTTAAGCCAAATTAAGGTTTGCTGAAACGCTTGAGTTTTGAAGAACCAAAAGACGACTTAAATTGAAAAGAAATATGACTTCATTTTCACTTAATTTAAGTTGTTAAAGTAATATTGAACCTCAACATCAGGCTTCTCATCATTCCTGTTTCTATACCCCTCCCCCCCCCATTAAATGCACATTGTAAAGATTTTCATTTCGAATCGAATTTCTGCAGTTCCACGCCGTGTTATTACTGCTAGGGGGATGTGAACTGACTTCAGGTCCCCATGGTGTTGAAATGTCATCTCAGAACCTACGGGTAATTCTCTTAAATTTGTTGAATTTAGAAATTGTTTTACATTCTTTGGTTTTTACCCTGTTTTCATTCTTAGGGTGGTTTGGACTTTCCGAGATCTAATCAACCACACAGGGCAGCTTCGTTAGATAGGTTTCGTCAGAAGAGGAAAGAGCGATGCTTTGTTAAGAAAGTCAGATATGGTGTTCGCCAGGAAGTTGCTCTTAGGTGTGCATTTTCCTTCCCTGACATGCAGTTAGTTTAGCTGTCTGTGCTTGCTAAAGTTCCCATCAAATATCAAACTAGAGAGATCCTTTTATCAATCTTGCAGTTGATGTTAACAACCTACCCTTGGAATTAATATAGTGAGTATGGCCCTTTTGGGGTTTGAGGAATTACTGAGCATCAACACTTTGAGGACAGTATGGTTTATATTGCTAGAGTTATGATGATTGTACGGATAGCTGAAGTAAATGATTTTTATTTACATTTTTTTTGCATCTTTTTCTTATGGCCCTTTTCATTTCTCCTTTTCATGGTTTATGTCATGAGAGTTATGTTAACTCTCATGTGCTACTTATCCTTTCACGTGCTCATTTTCATGGGAGTTTATGATTGTATATCTTAAATGTTATTTTATATATGTACGCGACACACCTATGTAAAAAAACCCATGTATGCTGCACCTTACTTCATTCAAGCAAGCACATTCTTTTTGCATTTTGTGCCTCAATAATATAAGGGTTCTAGTGACTTGCACCCTTCATAACTTTGCATTTAATATTACCAAAGTTCAAACTCATTAATGGTTTATTTATCCAAAAATATTGTTGATTTAGGGGGTTTTGTTATTAACCGAAAGTGTAAGGTTTAAACTGTTACAGTCGGGCAAGTTAGGACTGTTAGGTGCTTTTATGTTGAAGAAATGGATGAAGTCGAATAAGGGTCTCTCAAGAGGGGAAAAAATTAAATTAAAGAACTCAAAAAATAGTAAAAAAATACTATTTTAATTCACTGCTCTAGGTGTAAATGCAGCAATAGGATTACATGGACAAATGGGGAAGGATTATACATCTACTAATGATTAAGTAACTGCATAATTTAGAAATATGTATATAGTTGAGTCCATGTAAATTGAATATTGATATCTGTGGTGGTTGTAGAAACTAAGTGTTATGACAAAGATAAAGTTGATTCTCTGTGATAATTTTCTTTGAAATGATGTCTGGTTTGCAATTAAATTTATCAAAGAGTAGGCTGTATGGAATAAATGTTAGTGAAGTTGTTCTTAGTGAGTGGGCTACTACAATTGGGTGTACAATGGGTGCCTTTCCAACGGAATATTTGGGGTTACCTCTTGGGGCGAAGAACTCGGCATTCTTGTGGGATCCTGTTATTCATAAGTTTTACAAGAAATTGGCTGGTTGGAAGAATGCTTCATTGTCTATTGCAGGAAGAGTAGTGTTGATAAAATTAATACTTTGTTCCCTGTCGATTTATTTTATGTCAATTTTCAGAATGTCAAGTTGTGTCTTGAAGAGGCTTAATTCAATTATGGCAAAATTCTTATGGGGGGATTCGGTTGAGAAGAGTCGAATTCATTGGGTGAATTGGTCTATCGTATGCAAGCCTAAGGCTTTGGGAGGGCTTGGTGTTCCCAATTTGGAGCTTATGAATAGAGCGTTATTAGGAGGAAAATGGGCATGAAAATTTGCTAATGAGAAAAACTCGTTGTGTAAAAGGGTAATCTAGTGTAACAACAAGATTGATCCAAATTCAATAGGGATGGAAAACATGGCCTCTTATAAAGCTTCGTGGTTGTGGAAGGGAAGGGGGTGGTTAGAAATTGTTGTTCGAATGATGATTTTGGAGCTTGTTTTCAGAGCAATTTTCACCTGAAGGTGGGTAATAGGGAACCAGTTTCGTTTTAGCATGATGCTTGGCTCGATGATGTTCCTTTGAAAGTGCGATTTTCAAGATTGTTCTCTCTTTCGAATAATAAAGAGGGGAGGATTGCCGATTTCAGAAAACCGAACTCCTCGGGTTGGTTTTGGGACATTCCATTAAGAAGAAATCTAGTCAATTAGGAGATGGTGTAATGGAATGAACTTATGTCTTTGTTGTATAACTTTAATTCTTTGCCTTTGCTTGAGGATAGTTTTGTTTGGTCAGGAGAAAGGAATGGTTGTTTCTCGGTCAAGTCTTGTCTAAGAATACTGCTTGACAAGTTTGATGCTAGCTGTTTGTGGTTAAGGCATGTATGGATTGGGGTGGCTCCTCCTCGGGTGGAATCGTTCGTCTAACAGGTGGTCCATAAAAAGGTGGCAGTTAAAGTGGAGTTAATTAAGTGTGGGATTCAAGGGATTGAAGATTCTTTTTGTCTGTTATGTGGTTTGGTTCCGGAATCTGTTTTTCATTTGTTTGTTTCCTGTAAAGTGTCGTGGGATTTATGGATATGTTTTTTGCGGTTATGGAATGTTTCGTTTGCTGTTCCTGAAAGTCCTGCTGCGTTGATTTCTACCTGGTTTGATCTTGTGCCTCGATCGACCATTTGGGGGTTTATTCCATGGGCTATTTTATGGTCGATTTGGAAGCTAAGGAATGAGATTGTGTTTAATAAAGGGAAGGTGGATTATGCTTTATTATCTTTTCTCACAAGGTATAGGGTGGCAGCATGGTTTTATTCAAAATACTCTAAGGTGTCAATTCCTTTTGACAGCTTGGTCGGGGATCTTACCTTAGCAGATTGTCTTCCGAGTTATAAGGAGGTGCCATCCGAGTATGTGAGTTGGTCTCCTCCCCCGGTTTTGTTAAAGTAAACGTGGATGATGCTATGGAGAAGATGTGGTAGAGAGGTGGTATTGGTGGGCTGCTTAGAGATGAGAACGGTGTGGTGTTGGGAACTTTTGCATAGAGCGTAGGTCTTGATCCTCCTATTTTGGCAAAATTGTTGGCAATTAAAAGAGGGTTGCTGCTGCTTTTGGAGTCAGGAAGATCGGCGAATTGGAGGCGTATTTTAGAATCTGATTGCTCTGTGGCTTTGGATTGGATTAAAAACCCTGGTGCTAGCACCTTGTTGTTTGAGTCAGTGGTGAAAGACATTGCTTCTATTGTGGTGGATAGAGGTGTTATTGTTAGGCATGTTAAGAGAGTAGCTAATTGAGAAGCAGATAAATTTGCTAAGTTAGAGATAGGTTAAAAGTTTGTGTATGTTTGGTGTAATGGGTCTGTTTCTGTTTTCGGGTTGTTTTGATTGTAACTGGTGTTATTGTTCGGTGTAATAGGTTTCTGGTAATAAATTCTTTGAGGCACTCTTTTCCTCCTTCCAATGTCCGTTGAGTTACTTTGTATTCCAATGGTTATGAAGGGGTTTTAACGATGCCTCTTATTTTTATCAAAAAACGTGATTACGTTAACTAGATTTTCCCACACAAAGGCACAATATCCAGTTATTGACCTTTTGCCGGTCAACTTTCCAGCCCAACTAGAATCTGTAAAAATTATTATCTATCTATCTTCACTTTTCTTGAAGATTAAATCATGTTCCGGATTCATCCTAAGATACCTTAAGATTTTGTTCACAACATCGAGATGCTCTTCTCTTGGATCATTCATGTGCTGAGTAACCACACTAACTGAAAAAACTATGTTTGGCCTTGTAAGAGATATAAAGTAGCTTACCGACCAACTTTTGGTACTACTCTTTGCAAACCGGAATGCCTTCACCGTTTTTTCTGAACTTCAAGTTAGGCTCCATTGGTGTATTGGCTAGTATACAACCCAGCATACTAGCTTCTGTCAAGAGGTCTAGGATATACTTCCTTCGACTAATCACTATACTAGCCTTTTATCTTGCCACTTTATTCCAAGAAAATACCTAAGACCACCAAGGTCCTTGATTTAAAATTCTTTGGCTAGCAAATTTTTTAGCCTCTTAATTTCTTCAGCATCATCTCTGGTGATCATGATGTTATCCACATAAACAATCAAAATTGTTCTTTTTCCTTTTTTTATTTACTTTGATAAACAAGGTGTGGTCAATTTGACATTGCTTGTAATCACTACCAATGACTTGACATTGCTTGTAACCACTTCCAATGACCACTTTGGGAAATCTGTCAAACCAAGCCCTCGGGGATTGCTTCAAGCCATACAATGATTTCTGCAATTTATAAACTTTGTGAGTTATTGAATCTTCCTTCATACCAGGAGCAATTTCTATGTACACCTCCTCAGTCAAGTTGCCATTCAAGAAAGCATTTTTAAGGTTTAATTGATGAAGTGACCAATCTTTGATTCACGGCCAAAGACAACAAAACCCTCACCGTGTTTAGTTTTGCAACTGGAGCAAAGGTCTCATGGTAATCTATGCCATAAGACTGAGTGAACCCCTTTGCCACAGTCTTGCCTTGAATCTTTCAATATTGCCATCTGAGTTGTATTTTACAATGAAAATCCATTTGCAGCCAATTGGTTTCTTTCTTGAGGTAAATCTGTCAGAGTCCAAGACCTATTTTTCTCGAGAGCCTTGATTTCTTCCTTGACTGCCTTCCTCCACATAGGATCTTTTAGAGCCTCCCTCACTTTTCTAGGAATCTGAATTTTATCAACATTTGTCGTGAAAGCCTTGACTGAAGGCATTAATATGCTATATGCATCGTATTTCTGTACAGGATGAGCAGTGCATTTCCTCACACCTTTCCTTGGGGCAACCGGCAAGTCATTATTATCAATAAAAGGAATAGGATTTTCATTATGAGGAGATTCTATACCTTCCAAATTTTCCACGGTAATAGGATTCAGTTCCAATTATTGACAGCGTCTAGGTTGTAAAGTGGACTTTTCTCTTCTTTTGTAGAATTTTAGGTGGGCCGGAATTTGTAAGGATTACAATAATTGTAAAGATGAAAAAGACAAAGGCTGTGAGGGTAATATGGCATGTGGCGAGGATGTAGGTTGTGAAATTAAGGGTAACATGGCACGTGATGGGGATGTAGGCTGTAGAGTCGAAGGCAAATCAATCGAATTCTGAAGGCTATAAAAAATTGAAACTAAAATTCATTTTGAATCTCCCCTTGAATTTTGGTCTTTTTTGTAATAGGGGAATAACATTTTTTTAGTGGGTGAGTAACCTAGAAAGACACATTTGAGTAACCTGAGATCTAATTTAGACCTATGTTGTTGATAAACATGAACAAAAGCAGAACAACCAAAAATTTTTAATGGAAGGTTGCAAGACATAGGTTTAAAACAAAGAAATTTGTCAAGAAGAACATTCCTTGAGGACTTAAACTTAAGTGGTCTACTAGGCATTCTATTAATAAGTTGAGTAGCAGCAAGAATAGCTTCCCCAAAAAATATTTAAGAACATTGGAAGTGAATAAAAGAGACCTAGCGACTTCCAAAAGATGCCTATTTTTTCACTCAACAATCCCATTTTGTTGTGGACAATCAACATATGAACTAATATGAATTATTCCTTTTTCTCTGGAAAAAAAGATCCTAAAGTGCTTGAGAAGTATTCACTCCCATTATCAGTTTTAAGAATTTGTACTTTGCTTTGAAACTGATTTTTAACCATGCCACGAAAAGTTTTAAAGATACCACTCGTTTCTGATTTGTCTTTCTTCATATGGAAGTTCCAAGTTGTTCTAGTGTGGTCATCTATAAAGGTCACTTTCCATCTTGAGCCAGTTACACTTTTAACTTTAGAAGGACCCCATATCACTATGGATGATGGAAAAAGGATGAGATGGTTTATATGTAGATGGAGGGTATGTGGTTCTTTGATGTCTAGCAAACTGACAAATGTCACAATGAAAAGACTTGATGTTTTTATGCCGAAACAAATCAAGGTATATCTTGGCAAGATAAAAGAAATTAGGATGTCCTAACCTAAAATGTAATAACATAATCTCACTGGGGTTATGGTCTGATGTGGGAAGAGGTTGTGAGATGCAGCTGGAGTAGGCTTGTTTCGATGGAGATAGAGAACCTTGAAGTATGTAAACAAAACAACGTAGCATTGCAACTCATTTTTCCTGAATCCAGTACCTGAAATTCACAACCATTTAAATCAAATTGAGTGCAACAACCCAAGTCAAGAGACAATTTACTGACAGATAACAAATTGCAGGCCAAGTGTGGAACATAAAGCATTGATTTTAATTCAATTTCTTGATTGACTTGAATTGTCTCACTTCCCTCAATAGCCACTAAGGAACCATCTGTTGTCGTAACACTAGATTTGGTCCCTATTCTGTTGAATTCTTTAAGCAAGCACAGATCTCCCGTCATGTGGTCAGAAGGTCCAGAATCCACAATCCATGTAAAATTCTTTTTGTCGGCAACATTTGCAAAAGAAAGACTACCTTCATGTGTAGTTGTCGGGATCCACATGGTGACTCGAGACATAGCTGCATCTGAACTGATCGAAGAGATTTCATCTCCGGCCATTGAATTAGGGTTTGTAGATGGATCAACAAACCTAAACTGATACCATGTAGAAACTAAGTGTTTGTGATAGAGATCAAGTTGATTCTCTGTGATAATTTTCTTATTAAAAAATAGAGGTACAAGTTTCCTTTAAATAGACTAAATACATAGAGTTACAATACAAGTCAAATTAGTCTAGATAAAATTCTATCCTATTAAGAGATGAGAGTTATAGAATATCTAAATTACTTACAGATAAGAGTTATAGGATAAGAGTTATAGAATATCTAACTCTTTTTACCATCTATAATCTACAGTGGTTTGTTTTAACTGAAAAGGAATCTAGAAAAACTCATTAGGGACCGTCCTTCCTCATTGATAACTTTATATCTGTTCCCATAGTTGGTTAATTTATATTTCTGATTTCTGTGAGTGCTTCAGGATGCAGCGTGATAAGGGCCAATTTACATCTTCCAAGAAGTCTGATGGAACTAAGAACTCGGCTACTCAGGATAATGATAAACTATCAGATACTTCGTGAGTTTTATACCGTCTTTAGTGTGTTATTGTTTATTTTTTCTTTCTCTGAACTATGCTATATTTCTCATCTCTCTTTCGTAAGGCATTCCATTTACTGATGTCAGCTTCAAAATTTCCTGGTGAATTCTCAATATAAGTTTATAATAATTGGAGTTATCATATAATGTCATTTTCTACTTTTCCAGGTGTACTCATTGTGGCATCAGTTCAAATTCCACCCCAATGATGCGACGTGGACCATCTGGTCCGAGGTCTTTGTGCAATGCTTGTGGACTTTTTTGGGCAAATAAGGTTGGTGTCTTTTGTTGTGTTTGATAGTTCACAGTTCTGGGGTGGGGGTAAATTGTTTCTGGTTCACAAATGCGGATTGAGAAGGTTTGCCAATGTGCTGTGTCAAGGAAGTGGGCTCCTTCCCCTCTCCCTCAAACCCCTGGTTACAGTTAAAGTTTTGTCCCGTTTCTCTTGGGCTACATTTTGCTTTTAATTTTGCATGTGTATCAATGCTTTCCCTCTGCGAAGCATGCCTCGTGTTTTGAGTTGTTAACAAGGGAACTTTTATGCAGGGTACTTTGAGGGATATTCCCAAGAAAACTCGGGATCATTCCCTGACTCTAGTTGAGCACGTAAGTTTCTTAACGCATACACTTATTATATTAGACTTCTTGACCGCCTGTTCTAATTTAAGTAATTATTTCATCAACCTAATCTATGATTTGCATTTTCTTATGACATAGAGAGATAATGAAGCAAATGGCTCAGATCCTGGAACCGCTATTCCTACTACACAAAGCATTGTAGTTCCTTTCTCAAATGGTGATGGCTCTGCGCTAATTGCTGATCACTAATTGTCTGTGCTAATATGGCCATTGTTTCAGGTGGATCTTGATTAGTAAGTTCCTTCAAACTTGTGCTATATGTACAGATATCATAGCTTCCTTCATCTGTATACAAGGTTTTCTCCTCCTATTCCTCTGTTTAGGGTACTTTTGCATGAGATTACCTCTTTTAGAGGGAAAAAGACCATTCCGGATGTATTACCCGAAGCTTCATCTATCTTGGCTTTTATAATCTTGTAGGCCGTATGCTCCAGTATCTTATCCCTCACAAAAATAATCTTAGATTAACTATCTAACCGTCCTTTATGTACTAATCAAATGCCGTATTTGTTGATGTAAAAGATGACTAATCTTTTTCTGTAAAAATTAATTGGACTTTATATTTCATTCCCTTTCTTTGTCAAATCCTTGTTCTCATCTATCAGTTTCCTAGTGGTTGGTGGATCTGTGCGAGTTAAATGTCTGTGGAATGCGAGTTTTAATCCAGTTGGTTCATATAAATATAGTTAACAGGTAGCTCTCTGTTCTTTGTTGGGCAGATAAATTTAAACTTCATCAAATATTTTTGTATCAGTTTCACACTTCGGGCCTCTTGTTGTATTGCATATTGTGATTATATCTAGTTAGTTGCTACTTTTAAAGTAAAAACATTTACCCATTATCTCTACCGGTATTATAGATAGACAACTTTAATGTTCCTCACCGCACGCCTCTTGTCAGTTTAATCCAGCCCTTGCAATTTTTAGCTAGTTGTTCCCCAAAATTGCTCACCACTTAGGGTTCCATCTTTGACCATGTTTTCCCAGGCCTCAACAATATAGAGGATTATAAGTTACAATGCAATTTTTTTTTCTCAAACAAGGTACATCGTCAGTTCATCAGTGCGTATAAATATTTTATATGTATATATATTGTATTTTTCTCTAATATTTGGATCACAATTTGTATCTTTAGCCTTAAATTTTGAATTCATTTATCATTTGCATACATGTGAGAATCATTCAAATTTAAATTAAATAACATTTCGCAAGTATCTGAGTCGATTAACATTTACAGGAATAGCTCAAATATTTTGAAATAGAACTTAAAACAAAGTGAATTAAATGTTTGAATACACTATCCTAAAGGGGCAAAACTTGAATTCATCTTTTTTTATATATAGGCTAGTGGGGTACTTTTACCTCTCAGATTGTCCTACATAATCAATGTTAGTCTGTGTGAAAATACACTTAATTTGGTCCGTTAACTTGTGAATTGTATTAAATTAACCTTTTGACTAACGTTGACTGTTATTGTGCTGAAGCGGTGGTTCACTATACTGATGTTGTAGTCAATGGTGTTAACATAACATGACAATCTATGATAATGATACATTTGTCCACATGTGAACGATGTAGAGGAATAACATTTGGTTTTTTAAGAAGTTCAAGGGTATCATCGACTTTTTAGGAAGTTTGAGGGCAATATTTATGTTTTAGGAAGTTTAAGGGTAACATTTTCCCTTAAACTTCCTAAAAAGATCAATATTGTCCTCGAACTTCATAAAAACTCAAATCTTGTCCTTATTGTATAATCATCATTCACATTCTGACTGTGACATAAACACTATTTACGACTATAACAGTATAGTAACAATTACCGTTAGTGAAATTTTATGCAATCTGTGAATTCGAGGGTTAAATTGGGTATGTTTTTTTTTTGTGAAAGGCTAAACTGATTATATATCTGGATTCATTTAATCTGGGATTCTTCACAAACTGGCCTTGAACACGAACTGTTCAAGTTCAAAAGCTGGCATGTTACCCTTAATTTTATTTGCAAACATTTTCTCCCATCATCAATCTTGTGTGATTTGAGTGTGCGCAAATGTTAACATTGTGGTGTTAGTGAAAGTAGTAACCCAGAAATTTCATGTAATGCTGGTGCGATTATGTGCGCAAGTGAGGTTTGTCTAATTTAGTTCTTACTTCTGGGTGATGCTTTACCTCTAGGATGCTTTGGTTTTAAGCATTAATTTGTAAGTTATTTTAGGTTAGACAAAAAAAAATTGAATTTGGTATGGTATGTTATTTCATCGAGAGTGAGCTATCAATAGAATAAAATTTAGTAATGTTTTAACAAATAATTAGAGTATCTCATAAATTTATTTGCTTTTCTAAATATATATTTTTAATTAAAAATTGAATTAAGCTTCGACTTTCAAACTTAAGCATTTTATAAATCTGAGATTGTCATTTGTTTCTTCCTTCTAACATGATATGAAGTTTATGCCACGGAAATCCTTTGAAGGATGTCAAGCGAATAGATCAATAATGTCATGTCAGTGCAGATGAAATATGTTTTAGGTCTTTATCTTGAATTTAATTTCTCCTCCTTTTAAATTCATTACTTAAAACAATTTAATGATAGTTACTTGAACAATATAAGATTATATTGATAGTTTATCCTTTTTATTGAAGCATCAGTTTTAGTTCGTGTATGCGATATTTGATTCACGTCTTAGAAATGAACTCAAAAGGAAAATACTGAAACTTTTGATTACTTTTTTTTTTTTGCAAAATAAATTATTAAATGTATTTTACAAAATAACAAATTATTTGACTCAAAGCTGCAAAACTTTCAGAATTGAACTGCTTGAACCACTTGGTGTACGAGGCAGGTACTCGGTAATAGGGGAAATAGATGAAGGGCATATCATCCAATAGCCTATATAACCAAGCAGAGGAATACCTTCAATTTTTCAATGCTCAAATTGTGAAGATCAGCAATGCAAGTCTGCACTTTCAGATAGTTGTTGAAAAGCAGCAATGGTCATCAGCTTTTTCTGATCAGGCAATGATTGTATTGTGACAGTGGGCTCGGTTCCTACTCAAAGCCTTCAAACGATCCGATTCCGTTATGTATGGATCTATTACTGAATCCTATTCAATTCCTCAATGAATTTGGATCCGCTAGAAGAGTCGGATTAATATGCCAGTTGGACTGGTAGAATTCATAGGAGACGATTGGTTTAATTCTTTATCTATATCAATTGAACCTGAACGAGAACCAGAAAAAAGTTGGGTCTAAACTTCATCCTTTCATTGGCTGGTCTCAGGAAATTGACACAATTGTTTGAAACAAAACTAAATGAATGGAAAGAAACAGATGCATACCTTTCTGGATCTTCTTTGTGTGCCGCCTAATAAGTTTCTTAGCGTTGGTTATTGTCAACTGTCGAGCAAACGGAGAGATCTCGGCTTCACCTTCACTCAACTGTCCCTGCTGATCGCCCTCCCTTTCATTTCTCATAGTTCGAAGCACAAATTGCTTCGCTTTGCGCCCTTGAGTGTTGAAGAGGCCTTTAACGGAAGTAACAAATCCATCACTGGCTCCATCAGTCGGACGCTTAAGAAAGGTTGCTTTCTGATCAGACTGATCATCGTCACCGGGATTGAATTCACCATCAGAAGCAGCAGTTATACTTGATTGTTTACTATTTCACTTGACTTTGAATTTCCTACCCTACCAAAATGTAAAAGGAAATTCAGCAGATCTACATTCCAAAAGCTCCTACACACGTGCATATAGTATGTTACTCGGATCCTAACCCAACAAATAGGAGGGAAACAAGACTGGTTAAGTTTGAAGTCAGAAAAGAATCAGAGGACGGAGATTTGAAGGTAGGTTACAGGAGTATCATTAAGATCCCTTACCTGCATTCCAGTTACAGACTTTAGGACCCCATCAATAGGGCTGTAAACGAGGAGAGTTGAGTTCGAGTATTGCTAAGTTCGACTCGACTAGAAAACTCTGAAATGGAGCTAGATTTGAAAACTCGCGAGTCTGAAATTTTCAAGCTCGACTCGAACTCGAAATAATAAACTGAAGCTTGTAAAAGCTTTAAAAGGCTCGAAAAGAAAAGAAAAATCTTAAATTTAATTCGATTAAATCTTCAAACTCAAATTCGAACCTGAACCTTAAATACATGAAAATCTTATACCACATTTAAAAAAAATCAACACATATATGTTAATATTATTAATAATTTATTTTTAAAAAAAATAAAATCTTAATATATTATATTTTCAAGCTGCTCACGAGCTTTTCGAATCAAGTATCAAGTAGTTTGTTTCGACCCATCAAGAACTCAAGTCGAGCTCGAGTCGAGTCCATTTGTGTCTAGTATTTATCGAGCTTTGATTGAGTCGATCTCGAGTAACTCGCGATCTGTCTTGTCTCATTTACTGACCTACCCATCAGGGACGAACGTAGAAATTTACTTCAGGGGGTACGAATTTAAGAAGTTATATTAAAAATCATAGGTGTGTGAATTTATAAAATTTTAGAGGGTGCGAAATTAAATAATAAATATAAAATACAAAGAAAAAATCTAAAATATAAAAAAATTTAAAATTTCTAGAGAGTGCGATTGCACCCTCTCGGTCATCCCTGCTCCCCATATAACATGATTCTTAACTCGAGAGATCAGTCTCCTCCATGTTCCGGTGAACTGGACTCGGTGAAATGTATCCACCGGCAACTTGAGATCACTTGCAACAAATCTGGACCCTTCGTGCGTAAGTGGTAGCTCAACCTAATGCACAATAACAGATACGAAAACAATTTTTTTGGAGAAAGAAGCAGCTTTCATTTAAGAGCAAATGACATTAAGAAGTACAACAGATTTGATACATTTAGATTCATCATAATAAAACCAAAAAGGATTAGTTCTCGACAAGGCCTACTGAGCAAAGGAGTGAGCAACTTTGTTTGCCTATCGGTTGATGTAACGAACTACCCCAAAACAAAAGGGTAGACATATCTCTGGTTTCGCCCGACAGCTGAGTGCATCAAAATTAACATTGATGGTGCCATTTTGGATACTTAAGGAGCGGCGACAATTGGAATTGTCGCTTGATACCACCACGGTACGGTGATAGGAGGGGTGGCAATGAAACTAGAACCCCCCAAACAGCAGAATCAACTGAGGCAACGGCCTTTATCTATGGCATTCGTTTGGCCTTGGAAAATGAATGGAAACATGTTATTATTGAAGGCAATGCATTCTCGATCATGAACAGACTGAGAAATCGTCAAGAAGACCTATCGATCATTGGATTACTATTCAACGATGCTTTGGAGGCCCTCGACAACAAACCAAATTTCAAAGCAGACTGCTTTAGTGTCTCTGTTGCTCCTCTGTACTCGGAGACCAGTTCTCATGCCTTGTTAATTCACTTCTCGGTCAGCTAGCAGTTCCTCCTCGTGGACCCACTTGTTTCTTCTATTCCACACGTTACAAAGCAGGACCAAAAACCTAGTGAAGCCCGTGCTGTCCAGTTTAGCTGCTGACATGGTTAACCAGTCTTTACATGATTGGCCATGCCACTCCACGATTGAAGACTCCAAAACCGAGATAGTAAGGACAGTGCGAGTTTTTGTGCAGTTCTTAAAAGCATGAATGGTGGACTCTGTATCATCCTTGCATAAGGGGCAAACCCCATCACTGATTTGAGCAGCTTTTGTTCTTTCCCCTATTGGTGGAGCGTAGTGGCATAGGTGCCAGCCAAAGATTTAGGGGTGCGTAAGAGCAAAATTCTATCCCTACTAAATAAAAATTGTTCATATGAGAAAAAGTTTAATCTTATATAATCAATTCATCTATTATTTCCAAATTAGATTCTAAGAGTCACTATAGATAAATTCGATCAATCAAATACTAGCTTTATGAAAATTATGTTCAAATATAGTGGTGCACCTCTATTTCTAATAGCAAGTTCCTATCTCCTTTTTTCTTATAGGACTCTTGCACTTCTTTTATTATACAGCCAACAAAATACCATTCATATACTATTTAGAAATGCATAAAATTGAAAATTAAATGCAAATCGATGAAAAAGAATAGAGGATAAAATGTAAAGCCTCCCTATCACAGCCCTTCAAAATCTCTTTATTATTATATTTACTATAATTTTTAAATATTGTATTTGTTACACCCCAAAGTGGGGGCTAGATTTTTTCTTAAGTTAATTCAGATTAAGTTGTAAATTTCAGTTAAATTCGGGACCAAAGCAAAATTTCTGTTAGTTTCAGATTCAAATTTGGATATCTCAAAAGTTCAAGGACCTCTGGCATGATTTTACCATTTCCCAAGTTTGGTCCCGTAAATATGGTCAACCCTTTTTAGAAACTCTCACTTTGCTACTTTTTTTTCTATTTCCTCTCTCTCTCTCTCTCTCCTCTTTTATCTTTCTTCTCAAAAAAAAATATTTAAGGTTTGTTTCATCGTCGTCCGTCTCTCCGTTTTTGACACCGCCCCTGCCATTGTGTTCCTCTCGTCGTCCTGAGTCTACCTGTACCAGTTTCGTGGCCACCGTTGCCGGTGTGTGAAGGGGTAAGAGTGAAGAAGTTCTGACGAAGTTTTATCGAGTTTTCCGCCGTTCACCGTCGTGAACGGAGCTTGGTAAGTGACACCATTAGCTTCAAATCAATTTTTAATTAATTTTGGTAATTTTTTCGGCCGCCGGAGTCACCACACCCCCCCATGCGCCATCACCGCTCGTGGGGCTTGTTTCGTTTGTTAGCCTTTCTAGAAACCTTCCGATCCAACCCATACTCGCGACCCGACCTGCAACCCGAGAGCTTGGTAAGTGACACCATTAGCTTCAAATCAATTTTTAATTAATTTTGATAATTTTTTCGGCCGCCAGAGTCACCACACGCCCCCCATGCGCCATCACCGCTCGTAGGGCATGTTTCGTTTGTTAGCCTTTCTAGAAAACTTCCGATCCAACCCATACCCGCGACCCAACCTGCAACCCGATTCGACCTGTCCGTCCGACCCAATTTCTGAATCAGCCCAAGCAGAGTTGTGTCGCTCCGCATTGCCACTGTATGATTGCACCGTTGTTGAACGTCAACGTTTGACCGTTGATCGTCGTTGACTTTTTTCGAAAACCTCCCTCTTGACATTTTTCGACGTCTTGAATCCGATTTTGCGATCCTTTTATCCGAAAATACTTAATATTTTTAGCATTTCTATTTAATTATATAGAATTCGAATGTAGAATTGATTTGGAATTATATTTTCGTGAAGGTACTTGTGTTTCTCCTGACTGAGGGTCGACTTGATTCAATGCTTCCAGTTCGACTGATCAACCTGACTCACGTTCTTTGAGGGCTACACGTAGGTTTTTGTAAATTACCAATTTAGGGTTTGATATTTATTTCTAGACTTGTTACCTAGTTTTCCGATTCATAGGATCTAGCACTGCCACCGCTCGTGATAGGTAGACCCGCTAGTGGACTATCGTACCAGAATACTCAGATCGGTTCAGGTGTGTTCCTATTGGTGTTATAATTCCATTTTAAAATATCTGTCTAAACTATTTTAAAATTCTTATGATATTTAATATTCAGAATTGCATGACATCTGTTTATTACATGTTTTGACTTCTGATATGTGGTTTCTTTATATTTCCGACATGATCACTGGTTACAGTATTTCTTTATTTGATTCTGGATTTTGGTCCGATTTAATGTTTTGTAAACTGAACTATTGTTTTTACTATCATTGGGTGGGTATGATTGGAGGAAGTGTTTCAGACATAGTCTATGACTACTAAGATCTTATCGTAGACACCTCCACTTTGTGCACAGGCTAAGACCTTACCGCAAGTCCTTATGCTATCAGTAAAAGGTCCTTCTGAGCGTAGGTGGGTGTATGGTTTAGGGGAACATACACATTTTGGTGTTCGGATGAGGGTAGTGGACTATGATTTATAAAGCATGTTTCGTAAATAAACTTTTGCCGAAATATTTATCTGAATGTTTTCATATACTGTAAGGAACACTATGAGCTTTTTACCTCACTCTCTTAAATTTTTACTTTTCAGATACTATCTGATGGTAGGTTAGCATACTGGGCATCTAGAAAGTCGACCGTTCTCCCTTTTGATTTTTGTATATTTCTACATGTC